CGAAACAAGTAAGGATCTCTCACCCTATTTCCTATCACGGTATTAAAACTTAATAAATGATAAAACGATATTTTATGAATTAATAGATATGTATAATTAATTAAGATTGCTAATGGGGCCCGAACCTAATATATTTGTCGGTCTGTTCCTGTTTGATGTATTTTACAGTCTAAATACAGTATAATATTTGATTGTTTATTCTGTGGTTACGTATACATGAATCACTGTTTAATCTATCATGGTTTGAATTATTGTGAACCCGATGTTGTGTTACCTTATTTGGTGTGCGTTACTGGTTTACGTATTCATGTTGATTGGATAATTGAGACTAAGAAAAATAAAGATGGTATGTAAATTTATGAACGGATAAGTCGACAGCCTCACTAGATATCCTGGGAGATGGTGGACAAACCGGGTCCATAAAGAATCCTACCGGGAACATGGTCTCTCATATCGGACGGGGTATGGAGACTTTAAACGTTTTGGCGCTCATACCTAACGAAGTATGGGAGCGACCCGCTTCACCCTCATACCGAACAGGGTATTGAAGTTTATGGTTTTGGTGCTCATACCGGACGGGGTATGGGGACGGTCCTAAAATTAAGGTTAATGGTTCACATGTAGCGGGGACCCCTATGAATTCTCATGGATACTAGTAGGCTGATAAAAGAAGAAATTTATTACCTGATGATTAAAATACAAAAATATGATATGTGTTATGTTACAGAATGTGCATGATCTTATGATGTTTATAATGTTATTGTTTTCATAAGTTGTTTTCATAAATCTCACCGAGGTAAGTGAACAGTAAAGGGTTTTATTATTGATAAATGAATTTATTATAAATTATGCTTCATTGGTCGTTTTTGTTTTCTACCTACCTTTACTTCTGTAACAGTGAGATAGTGTGACATCTTTACTGGGCTAGTGTACCTCATTCCTCACTTAACCATTTCAGATCAGGAGGACTTGGTTCCCAAGCCCATTCCGCAGGAAGACAGCGAGTAAAAATCTAAAGATTTATTAGTTTTTCCTATAGTATTCATTCATAGTATATCCTTTAGTTAGTTTATTTTTTCATATCTTTAATACGTTTTGATTATTGTGTAAAAAATGTTAATCATAATCTATTTTATTTCCTTCCGCACTTAGAATAAATATATACATTTCCTTTAAATTTCTGGAGCCGTTACATATTTTGTTTTGGCGCCCACTTGCATACAAGTTATGGACCACAGTATATGGATTTATACAGGTATTAGTTGAATAATGACTAGTATTATATGGGATGAGATTTGGGCTTGAAAGGATATTAGTGGTGGGATGAGACATGTGGGCTTCATTTCCCTTACTATATTATGGTTGATGTCTTAACGACATTTGTTTGGTTTATTTTAAAAAAAAAAATATTTTGGGTGGTGCAGAAAGACCGAAACAGAAGAACATTTGTAGGCATGAAAATGATTTTGATAGAGTTAGAGATAGAATATTCCAGATCCTAGACTTTTTGGTTATTAGTCATCTTTTGTATTCTACGGAGGATTTTTAGGACCTTATTGACATCCTAATTGATATGTAAATTATTTTGTATATGAATTAGCATTCCTTTGATATCCGTAATTAATGATACAAGGCATATATTTTATTTGAAAAAAATGTATACAACATAAAATTATTACCAAATATATTTTTTTATCTATTTATTAGCATATGTCCTAAATTAATTATATATTTATTAATATAAAATTAGTTTTTACGTTTGATTTGGTTTCAAAATTTTTATAACCAGTATAGTACTTTGGTTTCTACATAAACTGAACACCAGACCTTCCCCCTCAATTCAAATAAAATAAAAGTAAATTGATTGATTTAGCTCTGATTTCTTATTAGAGCAAACTTACACTCAAACGATCCTAAAAAGTGTTGGATATGACATTACTATAAAATGGTGCTTTCCTACCATATAGCAAGTGAGATAGTACTAACAAAAGATTTGAGAAAAAATAGTGAACAAGTAGGAGCTATATATGACAAACCTTTACAAAGCAAGGGTGTATGTCAACGAATGACATCACCTCAGCTCTCTGTCCCAAACTCATGTTTGGGGACTTCTCCCATGACATGTATAATGATTCCAATTGTATCTTGCCCCATAGACAATATCCTCCACCATTTCCTAAAACCACAGATAATTTTGTAAAGCATTATCAAACTTAAGGAATAAACATGGCAAACCATCTTTTCAAGGATCCAAGCTCCCAAAAAAAGCTATGTTCCTAATCCTATCATTAGATCTCAAAAAAATATAAATTAAGCAAATTAAAGGAAAATTTGCGGTGTCCAAGTCACGGTTAGAAATGATTAGAGATCCGTCAAATCTATTTCACTCTTCAGATGTCTAGTTAACTCCAATACTTAACAGAAGATAAAATCATAAGATAGAAAAGTCAAAATGAAATTTTTAATATTGAGAGTATTTTGAAGGAGTTTACTGCACAATGTAATGAAAAATCCACAGAATTTCCCAAAAATAATCAAATTTCACAAAATGCCAGGGACAAATCTAATTAAAATTGAGAGCTCTGGAAAATATTAAAAAACATATTTCTCATCTTTCTGGCACTGTAATTATATTAAACCCTCCCGCTGCATCTCATGGGGGCCAATTGCAAAAGCAAGAAGCATTCTGAAATTTAAATGGATAATGTGTGCATTCAACACCAGCCACATTATTAGTTCAGTATTTCCAAATATTTAAGACTGTTATTCACTTGATTATATTCTAAAGCTTTCCACTAGAACCATACCATCCAGATTATAAAACATGATAAGAAATTCAAAGCTTGTATAATCTACACACATTAACTTGGACAACCAGATCAACAGAAACTAGGGTAACTCATCAAATTCCAATTATTAAAGTCATAAACCATTAATTTTTCTTTACCATTTGGTGAGAAAGATCAAATGTTTCCAAAAGGTAATATATAAAAAAATTAAGAAAAGAATATCCTATAAGGAGCAATCTCATACCTGAATGAACTTTCATCGAATCATTACCACACTGGGGATTTTGAGTTCCAGCTGCAAGCAAGTATAATTGGATCACGCTCGGACATCAGAACCACATACAGAAGAAGATGATAATAGGGTCTTCACAACAGAATTAGAGAAAATAATTATATTATCAAGCATATCACAGTACCAAAGCTGATAAACAAAACAGCAAGAGTATTTGATTTGGCCTCCAGTGCAAGTTTATTAATTTCAGGAAGAACAAAGCTTGCTTGAGCTTGATTACTCCCATCAATTCCAAGGAAACTTGTCAAGACACACGCTCGACTGAATTTGTATACTGCAGAATGCTTAATGTTGAAAATTAAAGGAAAAAAAACATTAGTAATTAAGAAGAAAAAATGAGAACAATGACTAGAAGAAAAGATGGATATATTATTGATCCATAACGGCTAGAAAATACAGAAATGCATCCTTACTTCAACTGTCGCCTTGTCAGAAATTAGCCTAGCCAACAAAATGTATAAAGGAAACAATCCCTGAGTGTGTGCACCTTCATTTAGAGTCCCTGACAGAGAAATTGTCATTTGTATTCTACATATTCAACCAGAACATCAATAGTTAGTAGTTTATCCATCTGCATGCCAAAAGTTACCACATGAAACATAATAACATATTTAATGAAATAAAATATTCTTCCGAGCAAAAAAGAGAGAAAATCTTAACATCATCATTAGATTATCAGGCAATAACACAATCACATGAAGATAAAATCTTCAGTTGCTAAAATAAATTTATAAATCAAAAGTACAATTTGTTTTGGTAGATGCAAGGGCAGTTCGACTGCCGAATCCTGAAATCGAGTTCTCCCTATGGAGAGAGGAGGCTATGATCCAAACCTTATTTTCTGTTTTATTTGTCTGAAAAGCTTCAATATCTTAATTAACAAAGTTCTATGTATTAAGAAATCATTAATATAGAGTTGATGTAACCAAAATAAACACATATGTTCACCGAATAGCATAGTGCAACATGGACCACTTGACCATGTTAGTTGATCCTCCATGTTTGAGGTCAGTAGGTTAGTTCATTGTGAATTACCCAGTACTCCTCTACCAAAAAGCCATTATTCTATTAGGACAACAACCAAACAACCCCTACTTGCTACGTTATAGGTTTAAATTCAAAGCAAGCATCGAGTAAGCAAGGGGACCCAGTCAAGGTTGTTCCTCTGGTGGAAAGTCCGTAAACCGGTTCCCACATGCTCATGACATGATAGCAAGAAGCAGGGAAATCATGATTAGATCGAATTTTCCAATTTTTCTTCCTTGTACATCCCTATAGTAGTTATTTCCTTCCATACTTTAAATTTCTATGGAGATCTTGGTACAATTCAAGTCTATCATCAAAGGACTGTTGCCTTCAATGTCCTATAAGCTTTCAGAGGAAGTGATTCCTTTCAGAGGTCTTGTGAGACCCAGTGATGCCAGTGGACATTCTGGAATAATCTGACTTGAAATATGGTGGAGTGTCAGAATGGTGAAGGTCCATAAAGATGCAAAAGGCAATTGGACTAACTATCAAGTGTGGCAAACAAGCCTTCCACCAACTTAGCAAGAAAGCAAGGAGATGCTCTTGAATTCCCTCTCATTGTCTTGTGAATTACCAAAGAAGGAAAAGCAAGGATCTTCAGGACAGAAAAATTGAGAAGGATAAAATGTTATATTAAATATGATAAAGGGCCAAGTCGCATTAGGACATGAGAGATGGTGAGGGAAAGACCTTGTGAAACACTTGATGATTAAAAAATCATTTCCTGGAATATGAGAACTTAAATGACTTAAGCACAAAACAAGTGATTGGGGGTTTCTAGAAGGAATGATGGGGAGAAGATATGAAATGTCTCCTAGAAACAGAGATTATCTCTACTTTCAATTCCTCCCTCTGTACTTCCCGTCATATTAATTTACTCATTTAAATCGTTCACATGCTTTTAACATGATCTCTCTATTTTCCTTATTGACCTTGTTCAGGTGATGGAAGTGGAACAGAATACACTAGCAAAGACATTCTTTCAATTCCTAATAATTATCCAAAACTTTCAGACACTATTGATACTTCTAAAGAAAATGTATCGAAAGAATCTACTGCTTTAAAGGACATAATAGATTTATTGATACAAACATTTATTAAACTAATAATCCCAATGCCATTTTAAAGGGCATAGATTTCATCTTAGTGGGTAAATTTGGGAGAAGGTGAGCCCTATAAAATATATGAGAAGGAAGTATAAGGCTAGTCAAGAGATTAGTGGGTTGTCCTTCAAAGTTTTCTCCGATAAATCTAGTTGGAGGAGTAAGGTTAGTTCATCATGAAGGTTACTAGGATTGCTTCTCATACCAATGTCCTTCAGGGTGTCTTTACTTGTATGTGCTTCTCAATGTTAGAGGTAAAGCGTTCGGGTGGTTTCCCTATGTGTATGGTTCTAATTCTCGTAGGCTCCTCTCCCTCTTATGGGAGGAACATCCTTTCATGTCGGGGTTGTGTAATCTTTTCTGGTGTACAATAGAAGATTTTAATGTGTGAAGGTTTCCTTTTAAAAATTGTCTTCTAGAACCACTTTAACTATGAGGAGTTTTATCTTTCAAAAAACAAACTATGAGGGGCTTTAATTGAAGACTGGGAGCTCAGACCTCTGGGTCATCCAATGCACAGTTCACTTGCTCTGTTAACATGGGTAGAGTGGTCTTCCGTATCAATCGTTTCTTGTTTCTACTCGTTGCGAGTATAATTTCTTAGATTGGTTCAAGAGATTCTCCTCCACCTTATTCCTAAACTTTAATTGAGAAAAGGAGGAAAACATTACAAAGTAATCAATAGATAGTTATCCAACTGATGCCAAAGAAAAAGAACATAGCATATAGTAAAAAGTCAACAAGGGAAAGATCAGAGCATTTCTCATAAACCTCGGACCAAAGCACGGCCTTGAAAGTCATCTTATCCCAAATAACCAAGTCCAGCAAAGATCAGATATCAAAAATTCGTGTTTTCTTCCCAACCAAATTGTCCAAAGACCTGCAAACAAAGCTCCCTGCCACAGTGGTCTAGCTTTCTCTTTAACCCAAAACGACCAATTTCAGTGTTAAATGAACCATTTCAAAGGAGAAGTAACCATGATAAGTTAAAAGTGTCAATTTCACTCACCTATAGCTTCCATGCCACCTCACACTGTAGAAAGAGATTATGAGTTTTCCTTCCTTTTTGAGTTCAGAATACAAACATTTATTCTAATAACCACATACTCTGACCATTGCTCTCTTATTCTTGAGTTACAACATCTCAGTTGAGTTCCACCCCCTTTCACTTCAAGAATATGAGGTTATATCATCCTGATTTTTTTAATCAAGTGAAATTATTGTGGGAAGAGCTGACATAGCAAGTTGGGAGGAATGTCAGTTACGAAAGCTTCAACTTTTGAAAGGTAAATTCAGGGAGTGAAATAAGGAGATATTCGGTGATATGGATGTGAAGATTAGAGAGTTGATGAGGGAAATTAGAGTCTTAATAAGATGACAATTGAGAATTCTATTTCAGATAATTAATGGCCGACATTTTCTTCTATTCACAATAAGCGCCAGTAGACTGTTGTTAAGGAGGAACCTAACCATTGATAAGTTGGATACGTTCATAATCTTACAAGACCGCTTGTCCCAAGGTTAAACCGCAAATCCAAAATAGCCTTGAAAAGATGAAGAACTATAAGTAGATTACAGAATTTAGAATAGGCATAAAGTAAAAGAACCGTGTTATCAGCAAACTGATGGGAGAGCATTGTGTAAATACTCATTCAAAACTCGTAATTAGGCCTAATCTTCTCTTCCTCAAGTATCCATTGGTGACGAATAAGTACTCACAGCAGTTAGGCAATTCGAGTGGACCAATAATTCCAACAAATAAAGGAAAGTCGAGTTTAGAATATTTTCACACATACTCTTTCTTTTTAATACTCTCTGTTTGGCCTACATTCTAGCTACCTTTTCCCCCAATTTACACTCCCTTCTTGTGTGTCATTTCCCATGCCTTGGTCTCAAAATTTTATTAGCTCCCTCTGTTGGGCCTCAAATACCACATGATCTCGCTCCTTTTCCAAGCAATCACTAATCCAATTTTCCCAGTACCTTCACAAGAAATACTTGAGCCACCGTCAACAAACCTTAAAAATCTACCATACCTTCCTGCTATGATACAAGGTTTATATGGTACCATGTTTGGGATCAGATTATGGTTGACTAAGGCTGAAATTCTAAATCAAATGGACAGCTTGTTTAGAAGATTCTTTCCTTTATGACCCTACATTAGTTGTAGTTGAGGGCTCATTATAGAAGATCTTCTGATCTCTTAAACCTAGGCACTTTAAAAATATATGAAAGATACTTCATATGGATTCTATTTGTTGTATACACACAAATATATGTATATAGACAAACCACAAAAACTAACCACCCTATAATCTAAGATCTAGATAATAAATGGTGTCCCAAACTAATAATTCTTTTTTTATATAAATAAAAGAGAAATAGTATTATCATGCACGAAAGTATCAAGGGAATACCACCCGAAAACACAAAATTACAAGTCGATCAGGTGGTTCATGACAGCCCCTATATCTTCCTAATCTAATATGTCATGACCAATCAAAATAGAACTAAAGTATGAAACCATCTATCTCTAATATTTACAATATCAGTTTCAATACCCTCAAAAGCCCTAGCATTCCTCTCCCTCCAAACAATCCACATAATAGAAAACGAAATAAGGCATAAATCTTTTTTCTTTTTACATAAACCAGCCCGCGCCCACAACTCCTTACTACACTACCGGCCATGACCCACTTCATCCCCATAATCCCATACACATACTCCCAAATTCTGTAGACCATA